ACCGTCTCTTAAAATATTTCATTGTTTCAACATTTGTTCCTTTTAGGAAATGTCAGAAACGTAAAACAGAAGGAAACAAAGTGGTTGGGTTTGGGGTTTTTTTTTTTACGTAAAACACACTTGCAATCCAGTCCAAAAATGACTCTGAGGAGAGTTAAAGATATTTGGTTGTGTAGCTAAGGAATGAAGTGAGTATCTCTGCCAACAAATGATGATTGTTTCCAGGATACCATCTCTCCTATCAGAAAGGGTCATTCCAAGACATTTCTCTGGCAGCTTTTATTAACCTCCCTCTCTCTGAGCCAGAAGACAGAAAGATGTCAGACAGCTGAGCTCTTGCACCATTCCCATTCTCCTATTCAGGACGAGGCTGTCCTCAGCCAGCGGGAGGGAACGTAAGGGAACTGGCAAACCTCAAACATTTTGTCAAAGGGAGACACACTTGTGAAGTTAATCCTTAGTGCTCTCTCTGGGTGCCCTCTTCCTGCTCCTCGTAAAACAGCCCTGAAGAAAAACAGTTTCAGCCTGTTCTCGGTGGAGAGAAGGCCACAACGGCTGCCAGTTCTTCCAGTGCCTTCAGCCGGGGGTGCAGGCTGTGTTCACAAGGGGTGAAGAGGCAACATCTCCGCCAGCCTCAAGAAGCCACAATCTCTGAGGGCAAAGCAGCCCACCCGGCACTGGGGCCAGCAGAGCCTCACCAACTCTCCTGGTTCTCCCTCCTCCGTGCTCTTTTTGCCCGTGCAGGTGTCTCTCTGTCCCCCTCACCAAACAAGTCCTGCTCTCCTCAAACAGCAGAAGCATGTGGGCAGAGTGGCAGGAGCGTGGATGTGTGAAGGCCCACTGGAGGGAGGCCTGGGAGCTCCCCACCGGGGAGCAGCTCAGCCTCTTTGCCATGTCCCTTTGCAGCACCGTCTTCTGCCAGCTCTGCCTGCCTCAGGCCAGCCTGAAGTCCTACATAAACCTGGTCCTGAATGCTGCTGTCGGGGGTTGTGGGAGAATCTGGTTCAGACAATGAGAGCTGCAGGTCTCTATAGGTGCATCCAGAAAAGAGGAGAGCAAAGGATGGAAAAGGATTGAAGAACGAGTGGGAAGCAAACACAGGGGTTCTGCTGAGGACCTGCAGGCCCCACACCTCTCCTCTTCTGCCCTCACTTTGCATCTCATTAAGTTACTTAGGCAATCAGGTGAATTCCCCTGGGAAGAAGAGAGCAGCCAGCCGGAACTCTGTGGTATCCGTCCCCATCTGGCAGAAAGCAGGGAGCAAATATGTAACATTTAGGGACCCATTAGAGCTGCAGTCTAGCTCATCACCTCTCATTCAGCAAGCTTGGAAATGGATGGTTAATGTCTCTTCTCTGGGCCAGATCTTCACCTTCCCCAGCTGTAATGGCTTTTTAGATATCTAATTTCAAGCAGCTGTTAGTACCTGCCAGACCATGAAATATCTTTCACCTTTTCCAAAGGAAAAGATGACTGGGGAGCCTCTTCTTGGAGCAGAGAGAGTTGTGAAGAGTGGCAAACTTCATGGCGAGGTGAGGGACCGTCCCAGCTCTTGAAATCTGCCTTCTTAGTCAGGCACCTAAATGTGGGTTTAAATGCTTCAATTTAGTTACACAGAGGTGAAAACTCCAGCCGTAGGAACTTGCCCAGGGTTAGAGAGCACGTGGTAGTAGAGTGGGAAATGTCAATGATCTGAAACTCTGTAGTCTGCAGCGGTGGCTTAAAAGTCTTTCTAGACACGTGCCCTCTCAGAGATAAATAACTGCTGATTCAGGAGCAACCTGGAAACACTTCGGGGAGGAGGAAGGGCAGCACAAGAGGGAGCCTTGTCCTGGGCATACCAGCCAGAGAAGGTGGGAGCACAGCAAGGAAAGCTATGCTGCGTTGCTGAAATTGCTGCTCAAATCCAGAACTGGGGAGGCAGTTCAGAGAGCAGTTCGCAGCTCCAAGAGTGGATGTCTCCAGAGCAAGGGCAGGGGGCAGCGGGGAGACAAAGGCTCTGACTAGTACTAGTTGACAATGGAGAAGCTGCTCTTGGTACTATTAAAATGCACCCTTATTACGCCTGGGCACGCATGTATGTATGTGTAGAAATTTGTGATAGGGCTGAAAATCTTCCTAGGTATGCTGTTCTTTCCATGAGGGCTTTACTTACCTCTAGTTGTTCAGAGGAAAAGCATGATCCAGCGTACGGATCTCAATCTGTCTGGGAAAGATGTTCTTGCTTGAAACAATTTTATGTGCAAGGACTGGTGTTTTCCAGTGACTGCTATAATACAGCTGCTTCTCAGAGTCAGGGTCTGTTGACCTTTGCAATTTGTTGCATGGCAATGAAAGGTGTTACACACAGAAAATAGCACAGATATACACTGTTGTCTGGCAACATCATTTGGGAATATTTTCATATCTCTATTGCTTTAGCTATTCAAAATTATGAAGAATCAACCTAGATCTGCCAGTTTATTAAACTGTGCTGCACTCATTCAAAGCTCAGCTTTTTTCCTTTCACAGACATAGGAACAGACAAAGGTAAACATCTGTCCGTCATAGAAATGTTATGGTAAATCCTTAAAATATATTCTTATACCACAGGCAAAAATAGATTCTTGGAGAGACCCAACATGCTTTATTTTAAATTAAATGCCCACAGCCCAATATGAGCTTTAAAATTATTAATCATGTCCTCTTCAGTGCCCTCTCTCTTCCAGTTTTTCAAAACACAGAGATCACTCACTGCAGAGTGGAAACTTGAGCAGCATTTCTTGTGATTCCACATTCATCTCATCCCTAAAAGGTGCAGTGGAATCTCACGACCCTGGAGGCTGAATATCCCCGTCGTATACTACCAAACCCAAAACAGTCTATGTGACACGCTGCACACTTAAAATATAGCTTCTCTTTTTCCTGCCGCGATCATAGCGCTATCAGACAAATGCAAAGCTGCCCAATTATGGTTATGTGGTCACAGTCTAGTGGAATAACTGTGACCCATGAATAGGAAAAACCTCTTCAGACAATGAAGCAGTATTTGAATTCTAATTATTTTATCCCCTCAACCACAGACGTAGGTACAACTTTTAGTAGCCTCAGGGTCCAATGGGGAAGGATTTCCCTTTATAATTTTATTTTACTGAATCTCAGTGAAACTCAACAATACGTATTTCGTGTGCTCCTAGTGCCTCTAGTTCGGTCTATGCAAAAAAAAGGAAACATTAATGCTGAATCATGGGTTACTCCCCAAACACGCACATGTGTTTATATTCTTCTTATCAGCAAACAGCAACTGTGGGCCAACGTGCCAACGTAAAGCCCTGCTGCAGCACAGGGGACCACAGCTGTGGCACACACCAACTGCAGAGCCGGGCTCTTCTCTGGCACCAGGAAAAAACAGGAAGGGTGGCACTGAAACTGCTGCTGGGCATATCCAGACATAAAACCAGTGGGCCTTCACATCTTCATCCTGGGGAGCTGACTAGCGGAGGGAAAAATAAAGGCACCACTGGCATATATGCATTGCATCAAGAGGAAGTGTAACATCTTGTGCTTGTTCTAGGGTTCCTAAACTTTCTTGCCTATCGTGTGTGTATATAATTCCTTGTCAGAGTACTTTGCTATGCGTAACATTTTCCATACATACATTTTAATCTCTTGAGCTCTTTAATCTCTAACAGCTCTCCAAAGTCCTGCTGCAAAACCTGGAGCCTGCGAGCCAAGCTGATGTTCTTAGCCCAGCACTAATGCTCTGCATATGTGTGCTGTGCATGGATGTGTAGGATGTATGCATCCCTTCCTCCAAGGACCCAAAGTATATATGAAACTTCAGTCAGGTCACAGCCACAAATAACCTAGGAGACACAGGACGTCTTAGCACGTACTGCCTGTTTCACAGGCGGGCGAAACAAGGCGGAGAGGCAATAAGCCACATTGCTAACACCCCACAGCGCAGCGGGGGCAGAGCCAGGAACAGGCTGCCGAGATCTTTGGCTGCCTTTCTTGGCGGCGCCGAGCCGTATGACTTGGTGCAGCACGGGGTGAGGTGCAGGCAGGAATGTGTGGAGGAGGGTCCCAGAGAACAAAACTGGTTCCTTTGTGCTCTAGGTGGACGCAGAGCTCAGGCAGACACGGGTGCAGTACACAGACTGCCCTAAATTACATTGACTTGCTACAGGTGTCTCTGCAGAGCCCTGTGTTCTTGCTCCCTGAACAGGAGCTGGCACAAAAAATAATAACCAGTCTCTGCTTAATTCTGCCATTATATGTGTTCCTGTGGGATAGTGGGAGGGGAGCAAATGACAAGATAACCCAGCTCAGGTCTCTGAGAGCTGGGAAAACTAGCGTCTTTCTGACTTGTTTTACCACTGAAGCAATGCAAAAGGACTGGTGCAAGATAAACATCCAGAGCCCTTTTCTCAGGCCTCCGTTTCCCCGGTCAGCCCAGCCAGACCAGAAGTGTGCCATGCCTGTGACAGCCACCTGCCTGAATGTAGACAATTCTCAGCACATAATGCAGTGTTGTGTTTCCTCTTGAGTCTTCTGTGGTTCTTTTTCTTGTAAAATATTAGCCAGATTTATTCTCTGTCACACTGGCATAAACATAAAATAAGTCTGCTGACTATAAAATTACTCTGTGTTTATCCATTTATTTCTGTATTTTATATGATTGTAAGATTTAACTCACTGGTGAGGAAATGCTGTAAAATACTGACTTCCACTGCAAGGATGCTGACGGTCCTTCTGATGCTGAACTGGATGAACAGTGACAGTTTGGACAATTCGTCTTTGAAACACAGTGAAGGCTGTCTTGTCCAACCAGTCCAAAACATGACAGAGAATAATAATTTAAAAAATGAATCTTATAATAAAGGAAGAATGGAAGGAGGAGGGTACTTTAGGATCGTAGTTGTTTTATGATTAAATTGTTAGGATTTTTTTTCTTTTGTTTTTACAATTGGATTGATACTAAGTAGATTGTGGTCCATTCTGTCCTGTTCTAACTTTATAATGCTGCCCACGTCATACTAATTGAGTGCCTACAAGGATTGAAGTGAATAGGATGACCAATATCTATCAATCATGCAGCTGTTCTCCCCTCTCCATGGAAGGGACTGCACTGTACATGCAGTACAAGACCTTGTTTCAGTAAGGTGTTTTGGGGTTTTTTTGCTTGTTATTGTGGTTTGGATTGGGGAAGGGGTTCTTCTTCAAATCAGTACATGTCTCTCTGGGTTTTCCCTAAGGAAAGCCGGTCAGGGGAAGGAATATACGATGCACTTAGAGCGGAAAGTGCTGAGACTTGCAACACATCTCAGTCTTGGGGAGTCTATTGCCAAGCCTCAGGCCCCCACAATGATGTGAGCATCATTGTGCCAGAGGCCAGGGTCACCGTCTTCATCTTCATGCTCTGGCAACTTTTTATATACTATCCCAGGGCTCAACATGGCAAGCCTTCAGATGTGGACCAGGACCTCAACTCCAGAGGAAGAAGCACAGGACAGTCCTACCTGTGCTTGAGAGGGTCACCAGCACCATACTCATCTGCCAGGGCTCCCCTAGCCCTGGAGGGCTGTGCCTGGGAGAGGCTTTAGCAACAGTCAAAGCAAAATGTTAGCTAGGGTCACGGCAGAGGCTGAAAGGAGTAAAACAGCCTTGGCCATACTGTCTGCTTTTCCTATCCAGCATTCGCTTCCTGCGCAGCTGGTCTCCCCTCCTGCCCTCTCATCCGGCTCCAGTGGGGCGCAGGCACTCCTGCTGCAAGAGCCACCGCTCCCACCGGCAGCCAAACCTCCTCTTCCCCCCACACATGCACACGCGGCAGGGCCCGTCCTGCTGCCCCTACAAACAGCCACCGCCCCCCAGCGCTCAGCAGCCCCGGACCCAGGGGTGCAGCAGCCATAGCCCAGCTGAGCCACACACGCTGCTCATGGGGCACAGCGAGCACATTTGGGACAACTATTTTTAAATAAGATGATAATTAACATGTCTCCCTTCAAGTACACAGAGGTGCTGGGAGGCCATTAACTTTGACAGCTGTGATATTTCTTTCCCCAAATGCTTATAGCCAGTGTGTCAGATGTTACACAGTTAGGACAGCTCCATGCCCTTCTGTAAGTGTCTGTCCTTGCTTTATTTCAGGACTAAATACACCCTGCAGTGGATATATGCCCTTCCTAAGTGTAAGATCCTGTTCATTTTAATGGCCCCACTAATAAGGACAAGTTGCCCATACGAAAGTTGGCCGGATCAACTGTTTGTCCTAACCCAGCCTGCTTCAGTATCCTCAAGCGCTGCAATGATTTTATTTGGAAACAGGAAGTGTAAATTCAAATTAAGAACATGGCTTAAGCAGAAGCAAGATCTTTTAAGACCCAACACTGAGCTTTTACTTGAAGAATGTACACTGAGATTGCAAGCGAGTCGGAGTGGGACCATCTTTTTGTTCTCTTTGTACAGCACCTAACGCAACGCAGGGGGATCCTCGGCAGCATCAAGCAACTACGGCAGTGCTGGTGCCTGGAGACATCCGTCTGTCTACGAAAGAAACTCGTCTCCCTTCGTGCCTCCGTCCTTGTTCCTGGATTGGACTAGCAACCTGTTTCAGTTTGTGCTTTCCATTTAGGCTAACCTCAGACGCTTGGTTTCCAGTTGATTGGAAACAAGTGTGCTGGAAGCCGTCTGCTCTTTCTTCACTATACAATGTGGACTGCTGCCTGGCTCCAATCTGGAAACAATTATTTCCCTCCTGTACCTACCCATTCTGAAAAGGGATTTACCCCTAGACTTTTTTTCCTCTTTGCACTTTTATTAGCCGCTTCCTTCATAAATAAAAGCTTGCCGTTGTATATAATGCCCACACAACAGCTCTAGCTCTGGCCGTCACATGTTTCTGTTACATGACAAAAATGCTGCCATGTTTTAAGGCCAGGTCTCCCTTAGGGAGTTTTGTATCAGTAAACGGGCCGTAGTGAATTCGCCACTCCCTTGTCCTGTTCCGATAGGATGACTATCTGATGGTGCTTGAATTTGTGTGACTTTAAGAAAGGGCTTTAAGCACTCGTTGTGGTTACGCTGGTGTAAATACTCTTAAACAACCCCAAAGAACAGTCAAAACAAGCATGGATATGCAGTAGTGCTTGCAAGTACATGCAGATGTACTATTACGCTATTAGCATAGCGCAGTGCAGCTCTTTTAAAAAAAAGAAGATACCTGTTTATCTGCATGTATTGCCGGATTTATTATTTCTTTCAGAAGTTCCTACTTTTTGATGTGTGTATGCAGACATGAAGGCATGGGAGCAACAGATGACCAGAATCTGCAGATATTTGCAGACGGGGGGGAAGCTTATGCCCATGAATAGCGCCATTATACTCAGCGGGGTCACTTTTCTGAGAAAGACTGATCACATACTTTATTTCATGAAAGACCAGCTCCTGACCGAGCACAGACACTAAGGAAACAGATTGCAGTGGAAAGAGTCTCAAAATCTCTTTTCCTGCGCTGAATTCAAAATAGCATTTCTCTTACTGGAAAAACAAACATAAGCTCATTTTGGGTGTCTCTGTCTGTCTGCCTGTGGGATTGGCAATCTGCACCTTCTGCAAATTCGGAGACCTCTCTGCCCCTGTTTACGCTTTAGAGGTTATGCCTTAATTACAAAAAGCTGATCTGCCGTGACATCAATTTCCCTCTCTAGGGGAAATTCCTAGCTGTGAAATCCTAGCAGAGACAAATTGCCGTTCTTTTCTTTTTTCTTTTTTTTTTTTTCCCTTGGCCAGTCCAGACCAACCCCAAAACTGCCATCAGGGTTTGACCTTGACTGCTACTTTGAGAGCGAATCGCAGAGCCTGCTCTCCTGAAGTGCTGACATACAGACAACTATTTCCAATGAGTTAATCTTGATAGAGAAATCATGCTGTACCACAGCCAAGAGCCTGCTCCCTCTGCCAAGCGGGACCGGTGCCTGGGGGCCGCAGGAGCTGAGAAAGCGCTGTCTGTGGCCTACCCCGGATCCGAAAGGACGGACGTTGTCCTGGACAGGTTAGCTGCAGCCCTGCCTCAACCCCGAGGCAGGGCCACGGCGGGGGGGGGGGGCC